ATTGTATCATACATCTTATAACATTGTATTTTTAAAATTATAAACGCACTCATTATGGGAACTACAAAGACTCAAAATTAATAAAATTATGCCACATCAGCCATTAATATACTAATTAGTACATATAATTTTACGGTTTCGCTACGTAGCTCGAAATTACCAAGCTCGAAATTGGCCCGAATCCAAAACGACGTCGTTTTGGTGTTTTTATTTTTTTATTTCTTCTTCTCATTTTTTTGAAGAGGAAGAAGAAAATAGAAGAGGGAGCAGCTGGTGAACACATTAAGATGATGAATAAATCTGATGAACACATTCATTAACACATCATCATCATCAACAAGATGATGAACATATCTGATTTGTAATAAAAAATTTATGTTGAACAAATTTATGTCAAACAGATCTGATCTATTTATGTGAGATGAAGTTAAAACAAAAATTATGAATTAAAATTATGAAACAGATCTGATTTATTTATGTGATCTGATCTGATCTGTTTACTCTTCATCATCAAATCTGTTTTTTTTTTTTTTAAAAAAAAAAAATTGAAATAATAATAATCAACAACAACATCTTCATCAAGAGCAACATCTTCATCAACATCATCACCATCAACACATCATCGGCAAACATCTTCAACAACAGCAACATCATCGCCATCAACACATCATCATCGCCATCAACATCTTCCTCTCTTCTTCTCTCTTCTATCTTCTCTTTTCTTCCTCCCTCTGTTTTCAGCATAGCAATATAAGAGGAAAAGGCCAAAAAAAAAAAAATTTGGGCAATTCGGAAGGACAAAATTCAGAGGGAAAATTATTTTCCCATTAATTATAGTGGACTACCATCCAACTCTATAAAGTTGGTTCGTTAATGAATGATTTAAAAATATTATTAAAAAAAAAACAATTTCATGGAAAATTTGCAGCTTTTATTTTCCGTACTCCTACATGTCACATTTTGTGCCATACATCATCCATAAAAAAATAAGGTACCTTTGATGAAAAATGAGGAGACTGGAGTGTCTCATTAATTATAGGACAATAATTGTTTGGTCATGTGCAGGACGGACCCAAGTGTAGACGGTAAGGGGCCATGGCCCCCCTGCCTTGGCTCAATTGCATTGTGTATACTGTTGCTACTTTATATCCATTTCTATGCGTATGTGTATTGGCCCCTCCAGTTGATAAATGTTCTGTTTAATCTTCACCCTCACTTTCTTATTTTTTTTATTCTGCTTTTAACTCGTATCATGGACACTCTATGTGAAAAAGTATTTACGTTGTGATTAATGAATTTGAATAGAAATTTAAAAAGGAAAAGAGAACAAACAAATAAAATATGAACAAAATATATAATTACATTTCATATACATATTTTTTTTTTCTTTTTGTATATTTTTACTCAAATCCATGAATCAAACACAATCTTAATATAACCCACTTTTATGTTTCTAATGTCTCTTGTTATTCTCTCTTCTTTTTGTTTTCCCCTTCTTCTTGTGTTTTATTTTACTTTATTTATTTATTTTTCTTCTTGTGTTTTATTCTCTTTTCTTAACTCCATAGCAGAACAATTATATTATGATGATTATATTTTTATGCCTAATTCTTTTTATAATATTATATATTATTGCATTAGTATAATGAGTTCTAAAATTCATATTTGTTGCTAATGCAATAATATTATATTATATGATAAATAAAATGTGATAAAATCTTATTCTCTTTTTTTTTTAATTTTGTAATTTTTTTTATTTCTTGTGTAGTGCTTACTGCTTAAGTGAGTGGTTTTTCAAAATAAAAAATGCAATTTGGTCAGTTAAAAAAAAAATCTTAATTTTAAAAGCAAATAAATCTACATTGAATGAATATTTTCATTCTAGATTTTGGCCCCCTGAAGGATAGAATCCTGGTTCCATCCCTAGTCCTGTGAGTCAAGTTCACGGAAGATAATTTAAATCATTTAGAGTTGGGTTAAGAATTTTAAATAAATTATTAAATTTTTTACAAAACTTCTCACATAAGTATAAAACCCACACAAATCACATATATATAAATCTTACACTCATATAAAAAATTTCATAATTTATTTAAAATTCTTAACCCAACTCTAAATGATTTAAATTATCTTCCGTGAACTTGACTCACAGGACTAGGGATGGAACCAGGATTCTATCCTTCAGGGGGCCAAAATCTAGAATGAAAATATTCATTCAATGTAGATTTATTTGCTTTTAAAATTAAGATTATTTTTTAACTAACCAAATTGCATTTTTTATTTTGAAAAACCACTCACTTAAGCAGTAAGCACTACACAAGAAATAAAAAAAATTACAAAATTAAAAAAAAAAGAGAATAAGATTTTATCACATTTTATTTATCATATAATATAATATTATTGCATTAGCAACAAATATGAATTTTAGAACTCATTATACTAATGCAATAATATATAATATTATAAAAAGAATTAGGCATAAAAATATAATCATCATAATATAATTGTTCTGCTATGGAGTTAAGAAAAGAGAATAAAACACAAGAAGAAAAATAAATAAATAAAGTAAAATAAAACACAAGAAGGAGGGGAAAACAAAAGGAAGAGAGAATAACAAGAGACATTAGAAGTATAAAAGTGGGTTATATTAAGATTGTGTTTGATTCATGGATTTGAGTAGAAATATACAAAAAGAAAAAAAAAATATGTATATGAAATGTAATTATATATTTTGTTCATATTTTATTTGTTTGTTCTCTTTTCCTTTTTAAATTTCTATTCAAATTCATTAATTAAATACAACGTAAATACTTTTTTCACATAGAGTGTCCATGATTCGAGTTAAAAGTAGAATAAAAAAAAATAAGAAAGTGAGGGTGAAGATTAAACAGAACATTTATCAACTGGAGGGGCCAATACACATACGCATAGAAATGGATATAAAGTAGCAACAGTATACACAATGCAATTGAGCCAAGGCAGGGGGGCCATGGCCCCTTACCGTCTACACTTGGGTCCGTCCTGCACAGGACCAAACAATTATTGTCCTATAATTAATGAGACGCTCCAGTCTCCTCATTTTTCATCAACGGTACCTTATTTTTTTATGGATGATGTATGGCACAAAATGTGACAGGTAGGAGTACGGAAAATAAAAGCTGCAAATTTTCCATGAAATTGTTTTTTTTTTTTAATAATATTTTTAAATCATTCATTAACGAACCACTATAATTTTCCCTCTGAATTTTGTCCCCCCTAAACCGCCCCATTTTTTTTTTTGGCCTTTCCCTCTCATATCGCTATGCTGAAAACAGAGGGAGGAAGAAAAGAGAAGATAGAAAAGAGAAGAAGAGAGAGAAGAAGAGAGGAAGACGAGGAGGAAGATGTTGATGGCGATGATGATGTGTTGATGGTGATGATGTTGCTGTTGTTGAAGTTGTTCGCCGATGATGATGTGTTGATGGTGATGATGTTGATGAAGATGTTGTTGTTAATTATTATTATTTCAATTTTTTTTTTTGAAAATCAACAAAACAGATCAGATCAGATCAGATCTGTCTAACAAGTTGATTATAATTTTTGTTTCAACTTCATTTCACATAAACAGATCAGATCTGTTTAACATAAATTTGTTCAACATAATGTTTTTTTTTCCCTAAATCAGATCTGTTCATCATCTTGCTTCAATTTTGTGGTGAGTTTGGTAATTTTTAGAGAGAGAAAATAGAGGAAGAAGATGAAGGAGGTTCTCGTTTTGTAGAGATGAGTCTTTAAATAAACTATTGTTTTAACTTCAATTTTCTGGTTCTGTTCATCATCTTCTCATACAGGTTCTAGTTCTGAAATTTTTGAACAATCAAGAAGTTTTTCTCTCAAATGTTGAGAGAAAAGAGAGGAACAAAGGAAGATAACAAAAAAATAAAATAAAAACAATGCCGTTTTTCAAATTCAAGCCATTTAGAGGAGCAACTTTCGAACTATCTAGCAGAATTGTAATTAATGGGACACTCCAGTGTCTTCATCTTTCATCAACCGTACCTTATTTTGTTATGGATAATATATTGACATAAAATGTGACATGCAGGAGTACCGAAAATAAAAACTGCACATTTTTCATAATTTTTTTTATTAATATTTTTAAATCATTTATTAATGATCCAACTTTATAGAGTTGGCCGGTAGTTCACTATAATTGATGCGACAATCCGGTGCGTTCATCTTTCAACAACCGTACCTTATTTGGTCGTGGATGACATATGGCACAAAGAAAAATGTTTGGGAGTACTAATTAGTGCTCCCACTAATTAGGTGGCAGTGAGTCTCGCCATTAATGATGTGATGTTTTGGTCTTGGAGTTGTGTTTTTTATTTTTTTTTTATTTTTTTAATACATTAGTGCTATTAGTGGTAATGTTTTTAGTGGGATGAATCATTGTTGATGGCACAAAATGTGACATGCAGGAGTACGGAAAGTAAAAACTGCACGTTTTCCATGAAATTGGATTTTTAATTTTTTTATAATATTTTTAAATCATTCATTAATGAACCAACTTGAAGAAGGGTTGGGTTGCGTTTCTTATTATTTTATCTAAAAAAATATAAAATAAGTCTTTTGATTTAATAAGATAAAATATCTCATTTAACTTATAATTATTATATTTTTTTCTTATAAAAAAGTAAAAAAATAAAAAATTCAAAAAATTCTTTCAAAATGAGATTTTTAATCTCAGATTAAAATAGTCAAAAAGCTAAAAAATCAATTTACTTCCCAAATAAAGCTATAGGCCCCGTTTGTTTAGAGAATTAGTGGGGGGATTGTGATTGATAGTGAGGTGGGATCCACTAATATTGTGTTTGTTTTGAGAGATGAGGAGGGGATTGATAGTGAGCTCCGGATTAGGATGAACCTTCCCAAGTAGATTCGGATGGGCCTTCAGGACATGATATTAGAAAAATAGTCCGGCGGACTAGAAATTTTTTATTTTTATTTATTTTTTATATTCTTTTCCTGTCATCAAAATGAACTAGTGCATATTTAGTATGTTAATTTTGTAGGCAAGTAAGTGAAACTGATAGTCATCTCTCAACCACTCTCTCTCTGCTATTCATTCAGTAGTGATATTTAGTATCTTTTTTTTTTAAAATTTTAATTTAATTTTTTTTGTAGCTTTTTTACAAATGAAAGAGGCAGAGAATACAAGACAACGTGAGGAGATGCAGCGGCAGCTTTTTGGACTTCAGAGCATGTTGGCGCAAGTTTTGGAAAATCACAATCCACCAAATTCTCGACAATAGATAGTCATGGTAATTGGTAAGTGTGTTAAACCATATTTGATTATATTTATGTTCAAAGTAAAGGCAAATAAACGTTTGATGAGAATATCATAGAGAAATGATTGTCTTTAAACTAATTTAGTTCAATATTTAAAAGATGGAATTTACAGTTTAGTTTATGTTGACCAGTATAGAAACTTTAAACATTGTAATGTTCCACTGATCCAAGGATGAATAGTTAAACAAGAATTTTTGACTGTTCCATGGAAACCAAAATGTGATAAAAAAAAAAGAAGCCAAAAACGAGCCGGTTGGGGCAAAAAATTGGAAACAGCCTGGAAATAACCCGAGATCGTAGCGGTCACCTCGGCCTAGATCAAACAAACTTGTGAAAGCAAGCAACGCTTCGATAGGACGCATTATTAGTTATGTAGGACATAAAAGTGTGACAAAGTAGGCAAAACCGGGGCGTTTGGGGTCCAAAACTGCTCTAAATTAGCTCCTCTCTATTTCTTTTTTTTCCTTCTTTTCTCTTCCTTTGAAAAAAATACACTTATTTAAAATATTTCAAACCACCCCTTAATTGTCAAAACAAACCTTAGAACCCATAGTGAGTCTCATTAAAATATATTGTACCCAAGTTAGTTTATATTACATTTATTTCTCAAAAAATTACGCAATAATTTAGTTTTTAAATAATATTTATCGTTCATTTTTTATACAAATAACTATCATAAACTAATATGATTACAATAATTGAATTGATTTACTTTTTTTATAAGTAATATATATATATATATATAATAAGTTTCATTTGGAATGTGGGTTGACTTTTTGACTTTTTAATTATTTTAATTTGGGACTAAAAAGTTTCATTTGGATTGAGTTTTTTAACTTTTTAATTTTTGTGGGAGAAAAAATAAAATAAAATAATTACAATTTGAATATAATATTTTATCTTATTAATTTTTTAATCTATTTTATATTTTTTATAATTATTTTAGTCTCTCTCTGTCATGACCCGGAACCCATCTCTAAAAGTTTGGGTCATAACCGGCCAGTAATCCATAGATTACTGAAGGCCTCAAACGATCATACAGAATATTTATGTTAATGGAGTTACAAATGGAAGCATATAATAATGAGAAGTCCATTGAGCTGTGCCAATTATAAGCAAACTTATAAAGTTTACCTCATAATACATTAATACATTTACAAGCCCAAGCAAAATTATAAGTGACATAAGAAGTTTGTATATATTGGCGCTGTTTGGGAAGCCGGAAATGAGGCTATTATAGCCTCATTTGAGAAAAAAAGCCCAAAAGCAACACTGTTCACAGGTTTTCAAAAAAAATAAAATAAAATAAAATAAAATAGGCTACAGCCCGGACAGTGTAGGCTACGGCTAAATTACCATTTTACCCCTTCACATCATTTTAAAAAATTATAATTCAGGGACAAATTTGTCATTTTAAATTCAAACATCATTTCTACACACTTTCCAATAAAACAACTCAACTAAAAATTCTTCTCATCTTTCCAAACACAAAAAGCTAAATAGCCTACTAAAATAGCCACTTCCCAAACGAGGCCATTGTTTACAAATCTAAGACCATAATAGCAAAAACAAAATAAGGTCAAGGTATGGTGTGAGTCAAAGACAAAACTCCATCTTGGAGGCATGACTCAATTGGGTCACAAAATAGCTCTTGAAGTTGACTCTAGGGGTGTGCTCCATACTGCTGATCACCTACATATGCATACATAATAAAGGGTGAGCAAAGCTCAATGAGTAATAATACAGTAAAACAGTGTAAATAGATGATCATATGGTCCTCACAATATCTATAATCATATAAACAGAACGGTCTTAGGGCCAATCATATAACAAGTGGCCTCGGGGCCAATCATATAACCAACGGCCTTGGGTCCAATCATATAACAAGCGGCCTCAGGCCCAAAATGCACATGTCATATAATATTAATCAAGTTTCTTCATTCGATCAATTCACAATGTCGGCACTATTTACCATTCATGGTTCAAGGTACACAATAAAGAGCATATATGTATAATATTATTACTCACAATGCGTTAGGTCTCGCAGTGTTTCTTCCATAACACGACCTACATAAACATTTCACACACACATTCGGTGAACAATTTGTTCAATTCATATGCTTTTCTTTTATTAATTCATTTTATGCTTCGTTCATTTCCCAAGTCTTTTTAGGCATTGCAGAAGGTCAAAACATGCTTATCAACGGATTCAGAGGGTCGAGGAAGTTAACAAAAAAAGACAAATTTTTCCCCTTATTTCCTGTACGTGTGGAAGCCCCTCATTGCATGTGCATTTATTTTAGAACTGAAGCTCCAACTTGCCCTGTTTTCCTCTCTCTCTAACTCACTCTAGCAAGCTCTCCACCAAAATGAAGAACACAAGAGACCAACACCAATACATGACTTAACTCATAATTCTTTAATTTTAACATTACGAATCGTAATTTTTTAAAATTTCACCTTAAGCTCTATAAATCATGCTAATCACAAATATGAAATCAGTTTTTGTTTACAGCACCTCTAAGACTTTCAATTTTCAGTTCAAGGTTCCAATTGTAACAGATATTCCTACATTCAACAGATAATATTCCAAATTCACATAATTCACATACTTAACTTGCAAATCCATATCAACACACACATAATCACATGCATATTTAAAAATAGTACGAGTTGGGTTATCACAGTCTTTCCCCATTTAGGAAGTTTGGTCCTCCAAACTTGTTTACCTCAAGTCGAGAACAATTCCGAATATCGTTGTCTCATTTCTTCTTCCTGTTCCCAAGTGACTTTGTTTCCATGATGTTCCCTTTATTCGACTTTTACCATTGTAATAGTCTTGTTCCTTAGTTGTTTGACTTTTCGATCAAGGATTTGGATAGGTTTCTTCTCATAAACCATATTGTCATTTAGCACAATTTGATGATAGTCAATAACATAAGAAGGGTCCCAAAGGTAGCCTCGCAACATTGATACATGAAACACATTGTGCATTTGCTCCATGCCTGGTGGTAAAGCAATCCGATAGGCAACTAGACCCAATCTTTCTAAAATCTGAAATAGCCTTACGTATTGGGGAGATAATTTTCCTTTCTTGCAAAACGTTGTGTGCCCTTTTCATTGGAGTGACTTTTACAAGAACATGATCCCCAGCTTCAAATTCCAAGTCTATCATTCTTTGATTCGCATAGCTCTTTTGTCGATTTTGAGCAGTTTTCAATCTCTGTTGGATGATCTGAATCTTTTCCATAGTAACTTGCACAATTTTAGGCCAATCAATGACCTATCCCCAACCTCAGTCCAACAAACCCGAGTTCGACATTTTTTACCATACAAAGCTTCAGATGGTGTCATTCCAATACTGGAGTGGAAACTGTTGTTATATGCAAATTCTGCCAAAGGTAAATGAGTCTCCCAACTTTTATGAAAATCTAAAACACACATCTGGAGCATGTCCTCCAACATCTGTATAGTTCTTTCAGATTGTCCATCGGTGTGTAGATGAAATGCAGTACTAAACCTCAATTTCGTCCCCAATACTTTTTGTAAGCTTTGCCAAAATCTTGACACAAACGTAGAATCTCTATCCGACATAATGGAAACCGAAACACCGTGCAATCGAATAATCTCAGCAATGTACACAGTATCAAGTCTATTAGCATTATAAACAGTCTTCACGGGCAAAAAGTGAGCAAACTTAGTCAATCTATCCATAACAACCCATATAGAATCCATACCTCGAGGTGTTCCAAGTAAGCCCACAATAAAATCCATAGTTATGTGCTCCTATTTTCATTCTGGAATAGGAAGAGGTTGAAATAACCCCACCGGTCTTTGGTGTTCCGTTTTTACTTGCTGACATTGAAGGCATCTTGAATTGAACTATGCAATTTCTCTCTTCATATTAGGCCACCAAAAAGCTTGCTTGAGATCCTGGTACATTTTGGTATTTCCAAGATGCATAGCAAATCTGGACTTGTGAGCTTCTTCCAAGATTCTTCCTTTAATTTTAGGGACATTAGGAACACATAATCATCCCTCGAATTTTAACACTTGAGCTTCTAAGGAAAATCCCAGTCTCGACTTTGTGTCCATCTCTTCATTTACTTTCTTGAGAAATTCATTCTCAAATTGCCTTTGTTTAATTTCCTCAATAATAGCCAGTTATGCTGCCATTGCGGCTAACATTCCACCCTGTTCATGCAGCATAATTTCTACTTCCATTCTTTCCAAGTCAAGTAATAGTTCATTCCGCTATGTAAGTAAACATTGACTTTCTACTAAGAGCATCCGCTACTGTGTTGGTTTTGCTGGGATGGTAATGAATTGCAAGTTATAACCTTTGATGTGTTCTAATCATCGTCTTTGCTGTATATTAAGCTCTTTTTGAGTAAAGAAATATTTGAGGCTCTTGTGGTCGGTGTAGACTTCACATGTTGCTCCATAGAGATAATGCCACCATATCTTCAATGCAAATACCACATCAGCTAGTTCCAAATCATACATAGGGTAATTCTTTTCGCGTGGCTTCAATTGTCAAGATGCATATGCAATTTGTCTTCTATTTTGCATAAGTACACACCCTAAACCCTTATAAGAAACATCACTATAAACAACAAACCCTTATGTACCTGATGGTAAGGCGAGGACCGGTGTTGTTGTGAGCCTTGTCTTTAATTCTTGGAAATCAGACTTCCTCTGTTCTGTCCACTCAAATGGAACACCTTTTTGAGTTAACTGGGTAATCGACATCGCAATCTTGGAGAAATCTTTAACAAATCTTTAGTAGTAACTTGCTAAACCCATAAAACTGCGTACTTCTGTAACATTGGTAGGAGCAGGCCAATTCACAATAGCTTCTATCTTTTGTGGATTGACAGACACACCATCCATGTTAATTACATGCCCCAAAAACACAACTTCATTCGACCAAAATTCACATTTCTTCAATTTAGCATATAACTTCTTGTCCCTAAGTGTTTGAAGAATTAATCTCAAGTGTTTTTCATGTTCCTCAGTACTTTTCGAATAAATAAGAATGTCATCAATGAATACCACTACAAACTCATCCAAGTACGG